GGGGTTTTTATACCTCTAGCCTTCATTAATGGCTAGTTCAGCATTAAAATATATATATATATATATATTTAAGAAAAAGCACGATGGCAAATATATTAATACGAAAAAGATACAGAAATGTTGTATGAGATGACCTAAAAGAAAATCCAACTCATACAATATAACACACACAAAACCCAGATAAAACAAATATACAAAAAGCTTGAAAACCAAAAAGCCACAAAATGACATAAAAATGCTAGGAACGTCCCACTTTAGTCCTGCCTCTAGTTCTCGGAAGTGAGCCGGCTAACAAATTGGCGGCTAACTGAACCATTGCCCGTAGTAACCAAAGTATCATCCATCAGATTCCTGAGCTCGAGTAGATCCTCATTCTTATTCTTCCTCCTCGATGTGTAGACCTATCATTCCTCATCCGATGATTGACTCGTCTGATCAGTAGATTTCAAAGGTGGTCGGATAGGTGTAGGTCGTTACACGTCTTGATCCCCATGAGCCTGAGTAATATTAACAACTTTCTGGACATGATGAGGCAGTTGTGAAGCAGTAGAAGTATTTCCACATACATTATCAATGATTGGTTCTAGAGCAGGCGGGGTCTAAAGAAACTCCCTCTCCCCCACGATAGGAGGTTCCAAAGACGACAGAGCTACAATTGGGGATTGAATGGTTGTCATATTGCCTGCCTGATTAGGAGAAGATGGAATCACAACCTCTAGCGGAGTAGTTTGTTTTTTTTGTCTAAGTTGTGGGTGTAGATGGTGACATTGAGAACTGGAGTATTCAAACATACGACAGTTCAAACATTACGATGGAAAATGTTTAATATATATATATATATATATATATATATCGCTTTTACATTTGATATGACCAATGCCTCTGACAACAAAAATTCCTTGTAAAACCTCAATATGATAAATACAAGTGAAATCACAAATTTTAATTCCTATAATTGAACCGCAATATATTTGAGATAAAATCAGCAAGATATACAGAGCAATGAATTTAAAAAATAAACTTAAATCATACACTACTGATAAACCCAATTCTTTACAACAAGCAAACAAAGTTGATATGATCCAAATGCAATGTTCGATTATTCAAACACATTGATGATTGTCGTGTTAATAGAAAATCTCAGCCTCAGAGAATATTATAATAAAAATGTACCAAACTTTAATGTAAATTATTTGGACTTAAAGACAATCAAAAGAGAAGAATACGATTGATATCGCCAGGGGGGTGTAGATTCAGCAAGAATAACGAAGCAAACAATTCGAAGCAAAAAAAAACAACCAAAACAAAGTCAATATGCACTAATCAAATAAAAGATACAAGAGATGAGAATTTCTTATTCTCGCGAACGATTGAAACGTAGAAATCACCACCTGAATGATTGACGAAGGAAGTTGATCCGGGATGTCACCACCAGCAACGAGGGGATATAGTTGCTGCCACCTAACGATGTGGACATAGATTTGCCTCCATCTGAGAAACACAAAGGGAGAACAAGCCCGCCAAAAACTCAAATGAATAGAATGCCAATAATACAATAGCAAGCCACATATTTTTAATCAACAAGAACCTAAACCAAATAAAAACAAACAGACAAATATACCCTTGCTCCTATTAGGAGTGGGAGGCAACCCTAGCCTTAAAGAGAGGGGGAGAGGGCCGATTGGTCCTCCCTGACATGGACGAAACCGGTCCAGGGTCCCCATCCTGCCCCACGTCAATCTATTGGCGGAGCTTCGGCCTAATCTGTCGAAGCTTCTGACTCCTCATGATATGATTTCAGGTCGAACATGTTGAAGGTGATGAAGCTGTTGTAACCTCCCAAGATTGAAGGGTCTTAGACTTCCCACACTTGTCTCTTCGGTGGCATAGCTAGGGTTTAGGTTTGAAATGTGAAAGAGGGTGTATGAGACTGATTTAAGGTGCAGAAAAACTATTTAAGGTTGTTGATTTTAAAAATCAACAGAGGGAAATTAGGGTTAAGTCAAGATTTGGCTATGGTCTGGTGAGTTAGGTTTTGGAGGAGAAAAAGGGTATATGGGCCAGATCTAGGTGCACAAAAAATATTTATGGTTGCAGATTTTGAAAATCAGCAATTGAGAATTAGGGTTAGGTTAATATTTGACTATGATTTGTGAGTTTAGAATTGAGAGGATTTTGGTAACACTAGGATGGAAGTAGGGTTAGCCTAGTTTTGATATCAAATGATACCAGAAAAGAGGGATTGGAGAAAATTAAGCAAGAACAAAAGAAAAAAAAAATCCGAGATGAAAAAAAAACAATACAAAACAAAAATAATATGCACTAATAAAAAAAAAGAAACCAAATACAAGAGAGTTTCCTACTCTTGTAACTGATTGGGATTGACAAAGGAAGAAGACCTGAGATTGCACCACCAATAACAGAGGGATATAGTTGCTACCACCCAATGTCGTTGATACAGACTCGTCCCCATCCAAGAACAATAAGGGGCCCTCACAAAACTCATATGAACAAAATACCCCTAATACAATAAACAAACACATATTTATACTTAGCTAAGCTAAAAAAATGCTAATATCATATCAATTATATATCTAAAATCACTCTCAAAGATTTCAAGTAAAAACAAAACACATGTTCTCTAACCATATGATTTTGTTTTCAAATACCAACAAAAAAAGAAACAATTATGATAAGAGCTCCTAGACTGAGTGATTTGTCACAAAATAACATGATTAAATTAGAAATATGATTAAAACTCGCAAGTACCTCAATTGACTAAATCCTTCGAATGATGAATTATACAGTGAACTTAATAAGACACAAAACTCTCTATTAGTTAATATACACTTAAAATTATTCCCTTGAATAAATATCCACTAATGTTTACAAAATTCGCTTAGATGATGTAACCTATAATTGCTGGCAAAATTCCTTTAATCAGGTTGAGCAAGCAAACCTCTTTGACAAAGCAGACTAAATATGATGTTAATTCAAGAGGCTAGATCATGAGATCTTGATCCGGTTCGTCATCATACCCCCATCATCTGATCAAATTTGAGGGAGTTAATTTATTAATATGAAAGCAAAACTATTACTATAATACTTGAAGCATTTAGCCCCTAACAACTAGCTTAAATTAAAAGGTATCTTTTGCTACTGGGAGAGATTAATTATAAGGTCTCGTGACTATTAAAAACCTGAAACCAAATTATAAACTCCTTACAAAATGAAGGAAAGATATCCAAGTATCTAAAATTGAATACTTCTGGAAAACTTTGAGATAGAGTTAAACTCTTTCAGAAAGTCAGATACAAGTTTTTGGAGCCCAAAGTTTTTTATCATGGACTAGACCTTGGGCATGCAACGTTTATCTTTCTTTTTATTTCTTCTATAAGAATTAAGGGGTGAAAATAAAATCACAACAATCCACTTTGAACCAAGGTAATTGTGGTCCATTGCCTTGTTCTTTCAGCTAATAATAAAGGAGACAAACAAATCCTAACTACCGTCAACCACAAGGATCAAAAAATGAACAAAGAAAAAGATGAATTGAATAAAAAGGGAACCGGTCTTGACAAACCAAAATGACACCCTCCCTCCATTTCTTAGTTGTTAGTCACTGAACATCTATTATAAATGCACCATAAAATTCTATATAAAAGCTCATGATAATTTACTATAATAAAATGTTTTTTCCTTCCACAATGTAAAATAGCAGGCAGCGGGCATTCAACCACAACAATAAACACTAAAATTGCCGGCGTTCTAAGCCCCGGATGTGAAAATTGGAGAGTTGCATTAGGTAGTCGGCAACCAACATAAAATTTGTCAAAAAATCATGACAAGCAGTGGGCATCAATATTAACAAAAATTACTGGTAAAAAAAGAACCAAGCAAACCTTGGAGAGAGGGGTGTCATGAATGTTTGGGTACATTCCTACTGATGTTGTATTTGCAAGGATCATCCCTTCCTCTGGATGGAAATTTTCTAAATCTGCGAGTGATATAGCTTGTCCGCCAACAAAGTTAGCAAGTTCTCTGGCTCGTTCTAGCAGTCAGCAGATACAAAATTGTTTCATAACCATGAAAAAAATGAATCACAAGATCAAAAAAAAATCATGGCTTTGTGTTTTTGCGTTGATTTAATCAACTTAGTTAAAGCTGGGCTTGCGAGATTTGGATATAAATTCTCCCAGCAAAGACAAATATAGTGTTCAGATTACATTTATCATATGAACATCCACATATCCGAGTAAACATGAAACTTTAATGAATAATAATCCCAAATTCATTATTTCTCTGACAACAAATTTACCTCCCATATGGTTATTTTACGACGTGCTGGTAGCTTAATCAGTATTATTATGGTTTGAGGCTTCAAATACATAGGTTTGTAAGTAATTAGCCACTATATATATTGTAGATAATGAGAGAGAAAATCCTACTTTAGGGTCGGAAACCAGTTTGAAAGTTGGTATTTCCCCTGAAAATAGAAACTCCCTCTTTATGGTGGCGAGCAGAGTCGCATTAGCTAAGGCAAGAGAAGAGCAGGGAGCGTCAGCGTTAGGAAAGGCTGAAGGTAGGTGCCCCGGTGGATGTAGGTCCTGCGGTTGGAAAATCCTGCAGAAAGGATAAGTGGGTGAAACCCACAAGGAAAAACGGAAACTGGAGAACTAGCAAGGAAGCCAGCGGAGATGGAAGAACAAGTCGGGAAGAGAGCAGGGAAAAGAAATCCTCCTTTCTTATTTCCGCTGGAAAGAGGGACTAAATTTGGCTGGCAGACCGAGATGTCCACCAGAAAAGATAATTCACCCTGGAGGAGGTTGGGATTACCGCTTGAGAGTCGGGATTTCCCTCTTCTTTGACGAATTTCTTTCCTTTTTCTCTTCTTAATTTTTATCCCTTTTATTTTTCCATTGAGAATTATTATATCGAATTAAGTGTGAATTTTAAGGGTTCTGAATATCTAGTCTTCCCAAATTCATATTCCTTAATTATCTCTTAATGTGAGTTCAAAATATCTTATAATTCATTCCAAAATTAAGTTTAGTCATATTGTTTGAGTTAATAGTTAAGGCTTAAAATCCTTGAATAATTACTTCTCTTTATAGGCATACATTTTTATATATTTTGAGAATTCCATGCTAGAAGCGAAAGTGATTAAAGCTGGGTATTAGATTATTATTGAATTAGCTAAAAACTCAAACCTTGGATGGAACTTTACATCATTTTTAAAATCTTTACATCCCATGATCAAATAGCAAAAGTTCCTTTATATGTGACTACAATAACCAGAGTCTAAGCGTAGAAGTGAAATTACATTCAGGCACGCACGTAGGTAGAGTCTCTCCCACAAACTTCTGTTTACCCTAAGCTCACCACATGACAAGACCAAGAGTAAGGACAGTAAATAATAATAGGAAGTAAAACACCACGTGTATGCAATAGTAACAGGAGCGGAAGCAATATCGCTCAAAGCACAGCCACATATACAAACATCCAAAGAGAGCAAATCAAAGATAAACATAACTGAACTCCAAAATAATCATCGCCCATGTGAGTCAATGTGCAAAGTGCAGTGTCTACGTCAACATGCTGGAAGTCCACAACACCACCAAAGTGTATACATCACAGATAAAACACACTAGCAATGAAGTCAAAGTAAAGCAACAAAAACTTAAAAGAAGAGCAGCCTCAACTGGCCCTTCATCGCCATCCTGATCATCATCCATGGGCTCGCCTACATCTTCGAAAAGCTCGAACGAGGGTAGTGTCATAAAGATAATTGGGTCCGAAACGATGTTCTGCCCCTCCTGTCAGTACAACTGCTCGATAGTGAAATACAGGTGCATGAATACATACTACTGTTGGTGTTGTACCTCGAAGAAACGTGACTGCTCGCGGAGATCATGCAAGCTCCCACTACATAACCGCGACATCTGTGGACAGAGACTCAAGACGGTCAAAGATCGCAACAAGGGACGGCGGAAATCGTGAAGAACTCTCTCTCTCCCCTCTAGTGTGTGGACGTTCAAGGAGAAACTAATGGATTTGGTGATCGGCTTCAAGGGATTCAACAGCTCCTCCCACTTCTCCCCAACCACGCCAGCTTTGGCACATAGCACAGTGACCAAGCACAGCTAACCCAACCCACAATGATTCTACCGCTGACAATGTGGCTTGAGGAGATCGTCGGGATCGACCTTACATCAATAGACATGTCTGTCTGAATGAAACGGTCCTTCAAAACCTCTATCAGATTGGTGGTGGGCATCATTCGAGCCCATATCAAAAAGTTACAGGATTTGATAGGCCTTGGACTGCTTATTCATTGCAACACGAGAGAAATTAACAATTTTCTTGTCCAGCACAAGCCACTAGAAAGTGTAGTCCAAGATAAAATTGATAATTTCCTCATAATTAGGAGCCAAGAAGTTTGAATACACGCAGTTGAGGAAGTTAACCAATTTCGGAAGTGAGTTAATTGTCGGAGTCGAACATGATCCACTTACCTTGCACAATTACACTATCATCTATGGGTTCCTTCGCATTAACGAAATACTAGCACACGATAAAGAATACGGCAAGGAAGCGGTGTAGCATAATCGCACCCAATTCCAACCAACAATTTGCCCCTTTACCCGACCTACGGGTTACAGGAACGCCCGTTCAGGGATCAACTTCTTTGACATCAAAAAGTCATTGTTAAAATTTGACGCATTGAGGCAAATGAACTTCTTATTATCAAAGGTTTTTCGTTCTTTCCTTTCCTCCTGAGTGTCACAAGACTCAAGATTACGGAAGGGATGGAGCGATAAAAAAAAAGCAAAAAAACTTGATGCCTTACCTTCAAAAGTAGTGGAAGCTAGCTAATCCTTCCTCTTCTTCCTTTTCTCCTAGCTTCGCTTCTTCTTTCTCGTTTTCTTCTTACTCTTACTCTCCTACGATCGACGTCGGCTAAGCAGACAATACAGGTAGGTAAATAGGTATTGTGAATGACCACAATACCCAAAACTGCATTTTTACTAAGGTGGGCACTAACGCTAAAGGTCAGGACAGCGCTGGCGCGCTCTTAGCGAGGCGTGGGTATACCACTAGCTCTATCGCGCGAGACAAGCACGGGGATGTCGCAGCCTGTCTAGAGAGGGAGTGTGCCAGCCCGACTTCTTCCCACTACCTTTCCCATCCTCTCCAACAAACAAGCAGGGTCTGACTACTCCGATGAGGATTCTAATTAAGGGTGTAAGTGAGTCAAGTCGACTTGTGAGCTCAGCTCGATAAGTGGCTCCTGAACTGAGTTCAATGAGCTAACAAGCCAAGCTCAAGCGAGTCCCGACTAAACTCGTTAGCTCATGAGTTGGCTCACATAAAAAAGTATTAATATAAACTATACTCAAAATATATTAATTTTTTAGATTTTATCTTTAAGGTATTAAAAATATTAAAAAATAATATTTTATATTGTATATTAGGTGATTTCTTATTAATATATCTTCAAAGTGTTCATTCTATTTGCCATCTAATTATAAAGCTAGCTTAAATTAATATCATTTTCTCCCATATATACTAAACAAGTCGGCTCGCGAGCCGACTCAAACTCATAAACTAAAGTTCGAGCTCGAACTTGAGCTTGATAAAATTAATCAAGTTCAAGCTCCAGTCGAGGGTGACTCGAGCTTGACTCCTTTACACCCCTAATCCTAACACACAATTCTAACAAAAAAGACAACACATAAAAACACACAAAACAAAACACAAACAAAATCTAGCTTGAATCAAATCTCAAGTTAATGCTTGGGTTGTCTCCCAAGTAGTGTTTGTTGTAACATCCTCAGCCAAATCATACAATATCAAATCAAACATACCAGAATTTTCCAATATCAATTTATCTTTTAAACAAACTCTGATCAATCATCCCAAATATTAACTGTCTTAGAAATTTCCTAAATCATTCAATGTCCTTTCTATTCTATGATCTTCCAAAAAATCAGTCCTTTTTCACACCCATGTTCAGACTTCCTAGCACCTGATGAGTCTCACTCCTACGATCATCTTTCAAATAGTATGATGAGGGCCGAATCGAATAATAAACCCTAAGAAAAAGTTCTTGCTTGAGGGCTCCTTGCACCTCACCATTTTGTAATTCGCTCGATTCATCAGCACTCATGAGGGGAACATTGGAATATCTTCCTAAATAATCGCACTCTCTCTGCTCAAAGGAAATCTCCAACCCTATCACTAGGGCTCCTCTCATAGACTTAACTATATCCCTAACAACTCAAGGAGACACCTTTAAACAAAGAGCAGACTCTTCCTCAAATATATTCCAACAAAATTCATCCACAATAGCTTGCTCTTCGAGGTCCAACTTATTAGATTCAAAAGATTGGCTATCAAATATCCTTACCACCACTTCTACACTCTGGCCTTGATCATCCTTAGAGGCTTGGGGAAACATTATGGATTTCAAAACATTGAAAGTTACTTCCTGATCATTCACTCTCATAGTAAATCTTCCCTTTTAAACATCAATTAGCACTCTCCCAGTGACTAAAAAGGGTCGGCCAAAATTTAAGGGAATCTCTTTATCATCTACAAAGTCTAGGACTACGAAATCAACCGAGAATATGAATTCATCAATCTTAAATAGAACGTTCACTATCACTCCCCTCCGGTAGGTCACAAATCGATCCACTAACTGAAGAGTCGGAGTGAACTTCTCATAACCCTAGCCTTTTGAAAATGCATGGGGGCATAATATTGATCATGGCTTCTAAGTCACACAACGCCCTCCCACTAAAATTTTTTTCCTATGGCACAAGAAATGGTAAAGCTAACCATTCCTTTTAGTTTTTTAGGCAACTTCTTTTGCAAGATAATACTACACTCCTCAAATCAAGACCAACATCTTGTTGTTGGCTCCTAGCTTTATCTTATTGTCAAAAACATATTTTACAAACCCCACATAGCTCGGAATCCGTTTTAGGAATTTATCATAAGGCAAATTAATGGTGAGTTTATTGACAAGCGCTAGAACCTCGGACATGT